CAAGAAGTAGCACATTAAGGTCCTGGAGTGGCCTAGCCAGTCTCCAGACCATAATCCCATAGAAAATCTGTGGAGGGAGCTGAAGGTTCGATTTGCCAAACGTCAGGCTCAAAACCTTAATGACTTGGAGAAGATCTGCAAAGAGGAGTGGGACAAAATCCCTCCTGAGATGTGTGCAAACCTGGTGGCCAACTACAAGAAACGTCTGACCTCTGATTGCCACCAAGTACTAAGTCATGTTTTGCAGAGGGGTCAAATACTTATTTCCCTCATTAATATGTAAATCAATTCATAAATTTTTTGTCTCTCACTGTTCAAATAAACTTACCATTCAAATTATAGACTGATCATGTCTTTGTCAGTGGGCAAACGTACAAAATCAGCAGGGGATCAAATACTTTTTTCCCTCACTGTGTGTGTGTGGTGTGTATATATATATATATATATACACATTTTAATGAGGGAAATAAGTATTTGACCCCTCTGCAAAACACAACTTAGTACTTGGTGGCAAAACCCTTGTTGGAAATCACAGAGGTCAGATGTTTCTTGTAGTTGGCCACCAGGTTTGCACACATCTCAGGAGGGATTTTGTCCCACTCCTCTTTGCAGATCTTCTCCAAGTCATTAAGGTTTCGAGGCTGACGTTTGGCAACTCGAACCTTCAGCTCCCTCCACAGATTTTCTATGGGATTAAGGTCTGGAGACTGGCTAGGCCACTCCAGGACCTTAATGTGCTTCTTCTTGAGCCACTCCTTTGTTGCCTTGGCCGTGTGCTTTGGGTCATTGTCATGCTGGAATACCCATCCACGACCCATTTTCAATGCCCTGGCTGAGGGAAGGAGGTTCTCACCCAAGATTTGATCGATACATGGCCCCGTCCATCGTCCCTCTGATGCGGTGAAGTTGTTCTGGCCCCTTAGCAGAAAAACACCCCCAAAGCATAATGTTTCCACCTCCATGTTTGACGGTGGGTATGGTGTTCTTGGGGTCATAGGCAGCATTCCTCCTCCTCCAAACACGGCGAGTTGAGTTGATGCCAAAGAGCTCGATTTTGGTCTCATCTGACCACAACACTTTCACCCAGTTCTCCTCTGAATCATTCAGATGTTCATTGGCAAACTTCAGACGGGCCTGTATATGTGCTTTCTTGAGCAGGGGGACCTTGCGGACGCTGCAGGATTTCAGTCCTTCACGGCGTAGTGTGTTACCAATTGTTTTCTTGGTGACTATGGTCCCAGCTGCCTTGAGATCATTGACAAGATCCTCCCGTGTAGTTCTGGGCTGCTTCCTCACCGTTCTCATGATCATTGCAACTCCACGAGTTGAGATCTTGCATGGAGCCCCAGGCCGATGGAGATTGACAGTTATTTTGTGTTTGTTTCATTTGCGAATAATCGCACCAACTGTTGTCACCTTCTCACCAAGCTGCTTGGCGATGGTCTTGTAGCCCATTCCAGCCTTGTGTAGGTATACAATCTTGTCCCTGACATCCTTGGAGAGCTCTTTGGTCTTGGCCATGGTGGAGAGTTTGGAATCTGACTGATTGATTGCTTTTGTGGACAGGTGTCTTTTATACAAGTAACAAGCTGAGATTAGGAGCACTCCCTTTAAGAGTGTGCTCCTAATCTCAACTCGTTACTTGTATAAAAGACACCTGGGAGCCAGAATTCTTTCTGATTGAGAGGGGGTCAAATACTTATTTCCCTCATTAAAATGCAAATCAATTGATAACATTTTTGACATGCGTTTTTCTGGATCTTTTTGTTGTTATTCTGTCTCTCACTGTTCAAATAAACCTACCATTCAAATTATACACAGATTATTTCTTTGTCAGTGGGCAAACATACAAAATCAGCAGGGGATCAAATACTTTTTTCCCTCACTGTGTGTGTATGTGTATATATATATATACACACACAGTGGGGAGAACAAGTATTTGATACACTGCTGATTTTGCAGGTTTTCCTACTTACAAAGCATGTATAGGTCAAAATTAATTTGCATTTTATTGCATGACATAAGTATTTGATCACCTACCAACCAGTAAGAATTCCGGCTCTCACAGACCTGTTAGTTTTTCTTTAAGAAGCCCTCCTGTTCTCCACTCATTACCTGTATTAACTGCACCTGTTTGAACTCGTTACCTGTATAAAAGACACCTGTCCACACACTCAATCAAACAGACTCCAACCTCTCCACAATGGCCAAGACCAGAGAGCTGTGTAAGGACATCAGGGATAAAATTGTAGACCTGCACAAGGCTGGGATGGGCTACAGGACAATAGGCAAGCAGCTTGGTGAGAAGGCAACAACTGTTGGCGCAATTATTAGAAAATGGAAGAAGTTCAAGATGACGGCCAATCACCCTCGGTCTGGGGCTCCATGCAAGATCTCACCTCGTGTGGCATCAATGATCATGAGGAAGGCGAGGGATCAGCCCAGAACTACACGGCAGGACCTGGTCAATGACCTGAAGAGAGCTGGGACCACAGTCTCAAAGAAAACCATTAGTAACACACTACGCCGTCATGGATTAAAATCCTGCAGCGCACGCAAGGTCCCCTTGCTCAAGCCAGCGCATGTCTAGGCCCGTCTGAAGTTTGCCAATGACCATCTGGATGATCCAGAGGAGGAATGGGAGGAGGTCATGTGGCCTGATGAGACAAAAATAGAGCTTTTTGGTCTAAACTCCACTCGCCGTGTTTGGAGGAAGAAGAAGGATGAGTACAATCCCAAGAACACCATCCCAACCGTGAAGCATGGAGGTAGAAACCTCATTCTTTGGGGATGCTTTTCTGCAAAGGGAACAGGACGACTGCACCATATTGAGGGGAAGATGGATGGGGCCATGTATCGCGAGATCTTGGCCAACAACCTCCTTCCCTCAGTAAGAGCATTGAAGATTGGTCGTGGCTGGGTCTTCCAGCATGATAACGACCCGAAAACACACAGCCAGGGCAACTAAGGAGTGGCTCCGTAAGAAGCACCTCAAGGTCCTGGAGTGGCCTAGCCAGTCTCCAGACCTGAACCCAATAGAAAATCTTTGGAGGGAGCTGAAAGTCCGTATTGCCCAGTGACAGCCCCGAAACCTGAAGGATCTGGAAAGGGTCTGTATGGAGGAGTGGGCCAAAATCCCTGCTGCAGTGTGTGCAAACCTGGTCAAGACCTACAGGAAACGTATGATCTCTGTAATTGCAAATGAAGGTTTCTGTACCAACTATTAAGTTCTGCTTTTCTGATGTATCAAATACTTATGTCATGCAATAAAATGCAAATTAATTACTTAAAAATCATACAATGTGATTTTCTGGAATTACAAACCTCTACATGTTTTGTAAGTAGGAAAACCTGCAAAATCGGCAGTGTATCAAATACTTGTTCTCCCCGCTGTATATATGCCAAATTAGACCGTTTTAGCCTACAAATAGAACTCAATTGACTGAACATTACATTTTTCAATGATTTGAAATACATGGAGTGTACAAAACATTAAGAACAGCTGCTCGCATTGAACCGTACTCTTCTGACCCGACTGGTGAGAACCCACCGACTCCAGTTGAGACGCACATTGGCGTCCATGGTTACAAGTTTGCAACAGAATATCAGGATGTAATGTGTTGAATACAGAAAGTCGACAAATGATTCTGGCATATGAACGTGGTTTATCCAGGTGCATGTAGATTTTATGACTAATCAAGAGCGTCTTTGACTAGTGACGGGTGAAAAAATGTAGTTACATATTGCAATATTATTTTGGACGATATATCGATACATTGACTCCAAGTAACAATATATTTGTTTAGTTAATGTTCACTAGTGCTAGGCGGCTGTACCTGCGCTAAAACTCCGGTATTTTTCGTCCTATAGCTTGTTCTCCATTTAAATAGTGAGTCAAAAATGCAGCTTTTATTTCTCATGCTCTCTTGTCGCTCTGCAGCAGACAATATGTTTATAACGTCAAATTGCAATTGAATCGCAATGCATATTGTATCGGCACCTAAGTATTGTGATATCGTATCGCGAGGTCCCTGGCAATTCCCAGCCCTAGTTTAGAGGTGTACTGGAATGAGTCGAGTAGGCTTTCTGTGTGCCGGAGAAGGTGTCCTCTGACTGACTAAACATCGCATCTGTTTTTCTGAGTGTCTTACGTAATAACTGACTCTGGCAGTAAAATAACTGTAGAAACACTGTTATTAGAGGAAAGCGTGGAACATGTTCTAACCTCATTCTTGCCTCACTGTTTACCAATTGACTGAATTAAGTTCTGTCCATTTTTCCCTCAGATTCCAGTCTACAATGGAGATTGACAGTCTACTGAAACAGGTGAGTGATAGACCTATCTGTCATGACTCACTAATCCTGCTCCTGGAGAGCTATAGGATGTGCAGACTTGTTCTTGGCCGAGAGCTAATACTCCTTTTTATTAATGGGTTTTAGTGCTGGTCTGGAGAAAGCCTGCACATGCTGTTGTTGTCAAGGACCAGGGCAGAGCTGGTGAACATTAATACTCTATATTAAACCTCAATCTCATGTTTTTGTATTTAGCCTATACTATTTAGAGGCTTTCTTTGGATGACTGAAGAGATTGGGTAACATTTCTGCTGAAACTGTTCCTGTCCTGTGGCTTCATTGTTCTTGTGTAAAGAAATGAACCACACCCATGCCACACACACTTCCCCTCTAAACAACACTGTTCTTGCTTTTGCAGGAGTTTGTCAGTGTCTGGGTCCGGGATCCACAGTTCCACAAAGATGACTTCTGGCACACGCACGTCGACTATGAGGTCTGTTTAAATGTGAGTAGTACGGCACACTTCACTTGATTAACATTATCATTCAACTTGATCTTCAGCTTCTGAGAGAATGAGGAAGCTGAGTGTATTTACTGGCAACCTCTAACTTTATGATGATCTGAAGTGGTGTGATATTGGCCATAAACCCTCTGCTAATATGATATACCTGCTTCCTGTGTCTCCTTCCTGTGTTAAGACCAATAGCATGTGTTTTAGGAAGAAGGCTTCTTGTGTGCGGAGGCGGTACAGTGAGTTTGTTTGGCTCCGGCAGCGTCTGCAGGACAACACTATGCTCGTGTACGTATAATCCATAGGGATACTTCACTGTAGGCCCTCTTAACTGCATCATTTGATTACTCCTGCTGCAATGATGCATACACGGAGTATGCAGTTGTCCTTACCAGGGGTTGACTATTCTACATACACTACATTACCAAAAGTATGTGAACACCTGCTTGTCGCACATCTCATTCCAAAATCATGGGCATTCCTATGCAGTTGGTCCTCCCCCTTTGCTGCTATAACAGCCTCCTCTCTTCTTGGAAGGCTTTCCACGATTGTAGGAACATTGCTGCGGGGACTTGCTTCCATTCGACCACAAGCATTAGTGAGGTCGGGCACTGATGTTTGGTGGGGTGGGAATTAGGTCTGGCTCGCAGTCGGCGTTCCAATTAATTCGATGGGGTTGAGGTCAGGGCTCTGTGCAGGCCAGTCAAGTTCTTCCACACCGATCTTAACAAACGATTTCTGTATGGACCTCGCTTTTTGCACGGGGGCATTGTCATGCTGCCACAAACGGTTGCCACAAAGTTGGAAGCACAGAATTGTCTGTGCTTGTATGCTGTAGTGTTAAGATTTGTCTTCACTGAACCATGAAAAAAAGGCCCAGACCATTATTCCTCCTCCACCAAACTTTACAGTTGGCACTATGCATTGGGGCAGGTAGCGTTATCCTGGCATCCAGGTTTGTCTGTCGGACTGCCAGATGGTGAAACGTTATCACTCCACTGCTCCAAAATCCAATGGCAGCGAGCTTTGCACCACTCCAGCCGACGCTTTGTATTGTGCATCGTGATCTTAGGCTTGTGTGCGGCTGCTCGGCCATGGAAACCCTTTTAATGAAGCTCCCGACTAACTTATTGTGCTGACGTTGCTTCCAGAGGCAGTTTGGAACTCTGTAATGAGTGTTGCAACCGAGGACAGACTCGCTTCAGCACTTGGCGGTCCCGTTCTGTGAGCTTGTGTGGCCTACCACTTCGAGGCTGAGCTGTTGTTGCTCCTAGATATTTCAACTTCACAATAACAGCACTTACAGTTGACTGAGGCAGCTCCAGCAGGGCAGAAATTTGACGAACTAACTTGTTGGAAAGTTGGCATCCTATGACAGTGCCACATTGAGAGTCACTGTCTTGTGTTGTCCCTTTCCAGAGAGTTGCCCAAACTGCCTCCCTGGAACCCTTTCTTCAGTCTGAACAACCCCTACAAGGTCAACCAGAGGATGGAGGGCCTGCGGGAGTTTCTAGAGATGTGAGTGTCGTTTATTCCTCACCCTCAGCCTTATGAATGACTACCAGTTTGCATGTTCAAAAGGCTTGAAGGGATGAGCTAGAATCTAGGTATATGCCATCTATGGGTCTGATGCAACCAATGTCAGTTTCTCAGATATTTTCCAACCTCAAGTGGTCATCCGTTCAATATTGATGCACGATTAGTTCTTTTTGAGGCCTGTTTTGGTTTTCGATTTACTTTTTAAAACATTAAATACATAATGAAATAATGACATTACAATGATTTTAGAGCTTTTTAATGGAAATTCCAAAGCCAAAAATAGTAAACATTAAATTGCCAAAACATTGACAATATTCCACATTGGGTATACATCAATAGAAATAAAATATTACTTTTTATTTGATTACTTTATTATTTTTCATTCCTTAAAAGTAAATAATCTCTGCTCAGGCAGTAGCAGTCAGCCAGCCAGACAATCTAACGTTATCTATATGCTGTCTTCAGTCATCCTATTTAGCTAGCCTGCCTAAGTATGCTGCAGAGCTCTCTGCCGGATGTTGCAGAGCTGTCTGACCGAATCATTTTACTAGTTCTTCAAAGTAGATGAGGCATACTTTCACGAACACACTGTCCCTCGTGTACTTTCCTCTCTTAACATAGCAGGTGTAAGTGAATCCATCCAGAGATCTGTATTTGTCTTGAGTTTGGGGGGAAAGGCGCAATGGGTTATGGTCATTCTAGTAAATTAGCACGTTTCTACGCTGAACTAGGTTAAATATTTGCTTTATGAAAACTACAACTCCCTTCAGCCCAGCGTCCCACATAGTTCCTGACTTGATATATCTGTAGAGAAACAGCGCTTTGGGCTCACAAAAAAAAAGTCACTAAATGTAATTGAACCGACGTCGGTCAATTAGTTGTTTTAATAACCCAAAAATGAATTGTGGGTTAGTCATTCAGCACTACCGGTCAAGCAGAGTCCATATCAATCTGTGGTGTAGGTCATCCCCATGTGTGCAATAGGAAGAATTTGCTGCCGCAGACCTCAATCTCAAATTAATAGCAATATAATTCCATCGCATGAATTCTGATTTTCCTCTAGTTTGACATTTGTTTTGTAAACCCTCTGCTTGCCCTGTATAAGAAGCTATACCCATGGATTTATGGCACCAAACGCCATCTAGTGGCTTTTACCGTCAACTTCATTAATTTTCTCCACTCCATACTTGAAACAGAAGACATTATGTACTGATGACTACAATGTTGATCTCCTTCTCGCCTCATTTCTCCTGTTGTAGTGCTTTGGCATAAGGTACCAGAGAGCTTAGAATAACAATTCACTCAACTTCCTACCATACTTTGTTACATGGAGCACTGATTACTTCAAAAACAAACTGAAAAAAAGGCTTATATGGCGTTCTTGTTGGTTGTATGATCTTAATTATCCAATGAATTAATCTTTATCTCCTCGTCCCCAGTGTCCTCCAGGACCCCTTGCTGCTGTCTGACAGTAGAGTGCACCTGTTCCTCCAATCCCAGCTGAGCATGACCAAGATGGAGGCGTGTGTCTCGGGCCAGACACGCTACACAGTGGCTCAGGCCATCCAAATGTGTAGTGACTGTCACCGCACACGCTTCCCCATAGAGAAGAGCAGCAAGGTGTACTTCGACTCAGACTGCGAAAGGTAAGAGTACAGATTTGTGTCAGAAATTTTACTGATTGAGCGACTGTTTTTCAATGACATCCGTTGATTGACTCACAACAGAGATGATTGTCCATGAAAAAATGCATGAAGTTGACATCAGCTGAACTGTTGACAGAGAAATGATGCAAGCCGAAATGACCTCTGATCTTCTACTCATTGAGTACTTGCATACTCTCCCCTCTGCCTATACAGCACCACATCGTCAAGTCTGGGCCATGACTCGGGGGTCCCCCAGAGCCCCAGCCCCCTACCCTTTGACTGTAGCACCTGTGAAAATGATGACGGCAACATTACCATCCGGGATGGAGGATTCTTCAGCAGTCTGTCAGAGTCCTCGTGTGACCAGGAACACATGGAGCCCTAACACAAACCACTTCCACACGCACAAAGGGGCTGTTTCCTGGACTAAGATTAAGCCTAGTCCTGCACAAAAAAATAATGCTAAATGGAGATTCTCAATTGAAAGTGATATTTAATCCAGGACTAGGCTTAATCTTTGTCCGGGTAACCGCCCCAAGGACTGTTTGCTGCTGTTCCAGGTGTGCTTCTCAAACCTCTGTTGGAATTCTGTGTCCCAATCGGTCTTTTTAAAATATTTGAGCTATAAGTTTTCTTAATGGATATATATTCTATTGATGCGCCCTCTATTGTGGCCCGACTAGTGTTGCTAGTGAATGAGTCTCTTGTCCAAAACGGAACGTTGTCTTAATGCAATATCTGTCTTAAACTCTTAACTTGTGCCTTACATTTTGTACTTTAAAAAACATGTTGTGTATATAACTGTTAACCTGCAATGATACTGGGAAAGATTCTTAAATTATACTTTTTTTTATTTGCACTATTAAACTGTGCTCTAAGGTTAGCAAGGGATGCAAAGTGTATGTTGTATAGGCTCACTTTTAAACAAAGATTTGTGAAATACTTCTGTGTGTGTGTTCATAAAAAAATAAAAAAAAAAAAGACGTCCCTTTTTCAGGACCCTGTATTTCAAAGATAATTCGTAAAATTCCAAATAACTTCACAGATCTTCATTGTAAAGGGTTTAAACACGTTTTTCCCATGCTTGTTCAATGAACCATAAACAATTAATGAACATGCACCTGTGGAACGCTCGTTAAGACACTAACAGCTTACAGACGGTAGGCAATTAAGGTCACAGTTATGAAAACGTAGGACACTAAAGAGGCCTTTCTACTGACTCTGGAAAACACCAAAAGAAAGATGCCCAGGATCCGTGCTCATCTGCGTGAACGTGCCTTAGGCATGAGGACTGCAGATGTGGCCAGGGCAATAAATTGCGATGTCTGTACTGAGACGCCTAAGACAGTGCTACAGGGAGACAGGACGGACAGCTGATTGTCCTCGCAGTGGCAGACCACTTGTAACAACACCTGCACAGGATCAGTACATCCGAACATCACACCTGTGTGACAGGTACAGGATGGCAACAACTGCCCCAGTTACACCAGGAACGCACAATCCCTCCATCAGTGCTCAGACTGTCTGCGATAGGCTGAGAGAGGCTGGACTGAGGGCTTGTAGGCCTGTTGTAAGGCAGGTCTTCACCAGACCTCACCGGCAACATCGCCTATGGGCACAAACCCACCGTCGCTGGATCAGACAGGACTGGCAAAAAGTGCTCTTCACTGACGAGTCGCAGTTTTGTCTCACCTGGGGTGATGGTTGGATTCACGTTTATCGTCGAAGGAATGAGCGTTACACCGAGGCCTGTACTCTGGATCGATTTGGAGGTGGAGGGTCCGTCATGCTCTGGGGCGGTATGTCACAGCATCATCGGACTGAGCTTGTTGTCATTGCAGGTAATCTCAACGCTGTGCGTTACAGGGAAGACATCCTCCTCCCTCATGTGGTACCCTCTTTGCAGGCTCATCCTGACATGACCCTCCAGCATGACAATGCCACCAGCCATACTGCTCGTTCTGTGCGTGATTTCCTGCAAGACAGGAATGTCAGTGTTCTGCCATGGCCAGCGAAGAGCCCGGATCTCAATCCCATTGAGCACGTCTGGGACCTGTTGGATCAGAGGGTGAGGGCTAAGGCCATTCCCCCCAGAAATGTCCAGGAACTTGCAGGTGCCTTGGTGGAAGAGTGGGGTAACATCTCACAGCAAGAACTGGCAAATCTGGTGCAGTCCATGAGGAGGCGATGCACTGCAGTACTTAATGCAGTTGGTGGCCACACCAGATACTGACTGTTACTTTTGATTTTGACCCCCCCCCCCCCCTACTTTTTTTTAAAGGTGTCTGTGACCAACCGATGCATATCTGTATTCCCAGTCGTGAAATCCATAGAGTAGGGCCAAATTAATTTATTTCAATTGACTTTCCTTATGAACTGTAACTCAGTAAAATCTTGGAAATTGTTGCATGTATATTTTTGTTCAGTGTAGTTGGCTTTTGGAAGCCTCACCAGATGTACTGTGGTATCAACCCAGTAGAGGGCGTTTTAACATCTAAAATGAGCTTCCTTCGAGATAAACCAGTTCAATGTATTCATCCCCCTTTTACATCTAATGTCCACATTTTAAGATTCACAATGCTTGTCTGATTTGTTCATGGTGAATTCAAAAGAATCAGAGTCTTCAAAGAAATTCTGAAACAATAGTCAAAGACGGTACAGTATGAAGTTGGGCAGGAACTGCTTCTCCAATAATCCCTGATCACTCTTGTAGGCGACGTCGGCTAGCTCAACTCATGCACAGAAACATGTAATCAGGTCTGTCTCGTGCCAAACTGCACATGTGCAGGCTGTCAAATCTAAGGCCAGTGCCATGGTGTTGTCTGTGCTTCTGGGGCACGTTGTGTTGTGTGTTTGAAATCCCGGGTCTGCTGTGGTAGGGATGGCTGGACAGTGTTCTATAGTCCATACCCTTGTCAAGGTGAGTCAACCTTTCTCCCCTCTAGCTCTGTCTAGTTTTCACGCCACTTCGATACAAAGTGATGTTCGTAGCAGGTTAGGAGAGCATTGTTGCCAGCCCTTTTCCTAACCTTAACCTCAGTCTCCGAACCTGCTACGTTAATTTTACTAACTTGCTGCGTGAGTTCTAACCTACGAAAAGTCACTTCGGTATTGAAAAAACTAGACATGGAACACCAGTCACTTTAATAAGGTTTACATACTGCTTTACTCATTTAATGTGTATATACTGTATTCTATTCTACTGTATTTTAGTCAATGCCACTCCAACATTGCTCGTCCCTAATATTTATATATTTCTTAATTCAATTATTTTACTTTTAGATTTGTGTGTTGTTTGATACTACTGCACTGTTGGAGCTAGGAACACAAGCATTTCGCTACACCCGCAATAACAGCTGCTAAATATGTGTATGTGACCAATAAAATTTGATTTGAAGTGGTGTGAAGAGTGTCCCATCTATTTCTCTCACACACACACTCTGCGTAGAGACGTCTTAAACTCTGGCAGTATTTCTCATCTGACAGGAGGAGGGGAAGCACATGGTGTGTAGGCTACCTAGTTTATGAAAGTGTGTGTGTGTGTGTCAGGTCTGGCAGAGTGCTGACTGGGATATGTTTCACGGCTGCTGGCTAATGTCACTTACCCTCTCACAAAGACAGGCCAGCAGACTGAACACACACCTTGGTTTGTGTATGCTGATGAGTTCAATTTTTTGGTGTATTTCTTCCTGCTATATTAATCTAGAGCTGGTCACCAGCAGCAGCCCGTCAGTTCTGCCAGGTGAGCTGTACTAATTAAAGGGGGGTCATTAATTAATCTGTTATTAAATGCTCTAAGGATTTACCTGACAGCAGCACCTAGGGGGGTTGTTGTGCATGTGCTTCTGTGTGTCAATTTGGAGAGGGTATGAATACTGGGCAGCACATCAATTGAAAGTGGGAAAAACAGGTGAAGGCTCAAATAAGACCGCATCGGTCACCCTCGCTCCACACCTGTCCAGCGGCCCACTTTAACCAAAAACCTAGCCAGTCAGTCCTAGAGCTTATAATTACATTTGTCATTTAGCGGACGCTCGAAGGCACATAAACAGATTTGTTTTGCCTAGTCAGCTCTGGGATTCAAACCAGCAACCTCTCGGTTACTAGCTCAACGCTCTTAACAGCTAGGCTACCTGCCCCGTTTATATGCAAATGAAGCCATCAGAGAAAAAGAGTCACTACTCTGCAGCAGCACAGAGACCTAATGATATTCATCACACTGTAACACATGCACACTCCTACAGAAAGTGTGATATTCAGACGTGAGTGTGTTTTGTTTGACCTTATTAACGTGCACCCTCAACAGCATGCTGGGTGACACCTGAGCACTACACGCTGCACACGCAAACCGTTTCGTTCCTCCAGGGCCTATAGTCAATTTCCTTATAAAATGAAATGCTGCTTCACAGTCCTCAAAGGAAGGGTGTGTGTGTGTACACTTCAGCTATTGCATATTCATGGTAAGTCTATTTCAGCCCAGTAAATTATAACTCAATTTCCAGTGTGCATTGATGCGCTCCTTACCTACAAAACAAAACTCCAACCCGATTGTTCTACAAAGCAATTATGGTGTCTAGTGAATTGTGAACGATCTGCACTGCGTCGCCAACGCTCCAGGCTTGTGTGATATTTTTAATTGTTAATTTTCTGTCACATTAGTCAACATCCCAGACTGGGCAGGTGACCGGCTTTCTAGGCCACAGATTAAATTTCACAGTTGATATTTCACATATATTTTCACAGTTGATATTTCACATTCGGATGGGGAGTCTTGTACCCTGTGTCCATGTTACATATGTATGTGTACAGTCGTGGTCAAAAGTTTTGAGGATGACACAAATATTAATTTTCACAAAGTCTGCTGCCTCAGTTTTTATGATGGCAATTTGCATATACTCCAGAATGTTATGAAGAGTGATCAGATGAATTGCAATTAATTGCAAAGTCCCTCTTTGCCATGAAAATGAACTTAATCCCAAAAAAACATTTCCGCTGCATTTCAGCCCTGCCACAAAAGGACCAGCTGACATCATGTCAGTGATTCTCTCGTTAACACAGGTGAGAGTGTTGACGAGGACAAGACTGGAGATCACTCTGTCATGCTGATTGAGTTAGAATAACAGACTGGAAGCTTTAAAAGGATGGTGGTGCTTGAAATCATTGTCCTTCTCTGTTAACCATGGTTACCTGCAAGAAAACACGTGCCGTCATCATTGCTTTGCACAAAAAGGGCTTCACAGGCAAGGATATTGCAGCTAGTAAGATTGCACCTAAATCAACCATTTATCAGATCATCAAGAACTTCAAGGAGAGAGGTTAAATTGTTGTGAAGAAGGCTTCAGGGTGCCCAAGAAAGTCCAGCAAGCGCCAGGACCGTCTCCTAAAGTTGATTCAGCTGCGGGATCGGGGCACCACCAGTGCAGAGCTTGCTGAGGAATGGCAGCAGGCAGGTGTGAGTGCATCTGCACGCACAGTGAGGCAAAGACTTTTGGAGGATGGCCTGGTGTCAAGAAGGGCAGCGAGGAAGCCACTTCTCTCCAGGAAAAACATCAGGGACAGACTGATATTCTGCAAAAGGTACAGGGATTGGACTGCTGAGGACTGGGGTAAAGTCATTTTCTCTGATGA